CATTCTGATGGTCGAGAGACTCTGACGGTTGTAGTTTGAATATATTTTTAAACTAACAGAAAATCTTTTTCCCTTTTATGAAGAACCTGATACCATTATTTATAATAATTCATGTGGGTTCATACTTCATAACGGCTTCATTAGGGACAACTCAAAAACACGAGTATTCTACCATTTAAACATTTACTGTGTAAAAAAAATACAACCAATAGCCGGATATACCTGTCGCGGTCGCCGATTAGCCGCTCCTTAGAAAGCCGACCTTGACCTTCACAACCCCTGATCTCGCAGATTTAGGTCAAGCAACATGCGAGAAACCGGACGACTAGTCCAACATCGTTGATGCCAAACCATACCTCGTGAGCATCTGACTATGCAGCGCCCTTTCAAACATCGGCAACCATTGATATTAGTTTAATATCTACGGTTTTCTACTCCCTCTAGCCAGGGAGTACTTGAATCAATCGTTCCAAATATTGTCAGCCACTTTTTTCGTCCAAATCCAAGCTGCTCGGCCCGGGGGCTATGATCAAAGTGTAGGAGTTTTAGTTAGGAGAGTCGACGTAGGGCTCTTAGAGTGTCCAAGTTTTCATTCGATAGTTTACTCGGATCATCGGCTCTTCCGGGTGCGGGTAAACTTAGATAAGCCAAAACCTAGAATGACTAGTTACTGGAAGTTTAACACGTCATTGCTCGGCGTGAAGGACTTCCGTGATCAGCTACTGATAACAATACAGAGGGAATTGACGGGGAGTGTGCTTGGGAACAAGTGGTGGGGACACCTTTAGCCAGTCATCAGGTCGTTTGCAGCTGATTATAGTCGTCGACTCAATAGAGATAGATTAGCAGCGCAAACGGCAGCAGAATCTAGATTAGAGGTTGCCATCCGGTCGGGAGATAGTGTGGAAGTAGCAGTAGCTAGGGCCGAGTTGGCCTCCTCGCTTATCAAGAAGGACCAAACTCTGGTAGTTAGGGCTAGGTTGAAGAAAATGTCTGCCGAGGCGACCAACATGGCTGCAGAACTGAGGAAGAGGAGATGTGACTACAAACGAAGGCATCTGTGAGGCCTTTCGATCTTATTTCCGCGACCTGTTCACCAGGGAGCCCAGTCTGAGCCCCGCTAATTTCGACGCATATTTAGCCGACTTTCCACGTCTCGAGACTGGGAAGGCGGATATGTGCGAAGGGGCTGTCACCGAGGCGGAAATCTGGGAAGCGTTTAAGCAGGCTGGCCGAGACAAGACTCCGGGTTTAGACGGTCTTCCCTACGAGTTGTACTTGAGGCTGTCGCCCGTTTTCGTTCCGCTGCTGGCACTGATGTTCAACCACTGGTTGAGGAATGGGACCATACCCCAACGCTTCACCAGGGGTGTCATCAAGTTGCAAAAGCGGAGGGGTTTGGGTTAGATAATTTCCGCCCTTTGACTATGCTGAATGTAGAGTTGAAGATTTTGGCGAAGGTCTTGGCCAACCGTTTGCAGCTTGTCCTCGATGGTCTCATAGGTCCCGAACAGACATGCGCTGTGAGGGGGAGGACTATCCAGGACAACCTTCATATGGTTCGCCAGATCATGGAAAAAGTCGACGGTGAAGCCGCGCTGATCAATTTGGATCAGTCCAAGGCATTCGATAGGGTGGACCATCGTTTTCTCGAGGCCGTTCTCGCCTCTGCCGGTTTCGGGTGCCAATTTCGTTCCTGGATCCGTCTCCTGTACAGGTCCCCTGGGGCACTGGTGGAAGTGAACGGGGTGAGGTCGGAGCCTTTCACCTTGTCTCGATCGATTCGTCAAGGTTGTCCGCTTTCGCCTATGTTATATGTCCTTGCTTTGGAACCCTTCCTTCGCAAGTTAAAGGCGAATCCGGTCCTTCGCGGAATTACTTTACCTGGTGCCACAAAATCGGCCAAGTATTCCGGTTATGCTGACGACGTGTCTGTTTTCGTAAAGAACACCGCCGAGATTCACGAAGTCAGCAAAGGAGTTTGCAGGTACGAGACGGTGGCAGGGGCCAAAATCAATCGCGATAAGTCTGTCGGCTTGCGGTTGGGTGAGTGGGAGGGTGTTCCTCTCCCCGGTCCCTTCAAGCTGGACGGACGGGCCAGTCAAGATACTCGGTATCTGGTTCGGGCCCGGACTTAAGTTAGACACCAACTGGTCGGAGGTTCGAAAGAAGGTCGAGGACGCAGTTCGCCTGTGGACTCGAAGGAATCTTTCCTTGAAGGGGAGGGCGGAAGTATGCATTTCGCACATTTACCCGATTCTCCTTTACCGGCTTTCGGTTCTTCCACTCCCGTCTACCGAACGAGACAATTTCGTTAAAGAACTTTTCGATTTCCTCTGGAAAGTCGCGAGGTCTGCTGCCTCCATCCTGCCGAGGGCGGTCTGGGAATGCCAAGCGTCGAGACACGTCAGCACATGCTCCGCTTGAATTTCCTAGAATGGATGTGTACGCAAAACGACGACGAGGGCGAATTCTGGAAGGAAGACGCTCGTCAAGCTTTTCCTTCTCTTGAAAGTGTGCATTCCGATGAGGTGGAGGCTCACCGCCCATCTGATGGTGAATGCCTCTTTTATCAGGAATGTAGAAAAGCGCTGCTCTGCCTCCTTGGGGTAAAAAACGCCTTTCTGACACTCAGGGGTTGTCAAGGAAGGCTCTTTATCGGGTAGTTGTGAGGGTAAAGTCCAAGGACAAGCTCCCGAGCGAGCTGGGCCTTACGAACAAGGAGTTTCGCTCTGTCTCGCCTTGGGCGCCTGGGTTGAAATGTCTCAATAACGACGAGGCATCTCTCACCTGGCTGGTGTTGCGAGGGGCTCTCTGGGTCGGCAAAAAGCTCTGCTCAGCGGGCTTGGCTATTACAGCCAAATGTGTGCGCTGTGGTGACTGGGAGGAGTCAATTGAACATACCTTCTTTCACTGCGACATTGTGCAACCTTTGTGCAGGCTGATTGAAGGCTTCATGGTTCGCGTCTTGGACGGAAAGTTTTTTGCCCTGGATGCCTGTTCCGTTTGTTCCAATGTGGTTCCGTCAATGTCGTGGGATCAGCACTATGTGTTCTTGTGTCTGCTCGGCATTATGCGAATGGTAGTATGGACGACTAGACAGAAGGAGTTTCACGCAGGCGAGAAGTTTTCCTCCTTGCAACTGGTCTCTTTCTTTAGGCAGCAGCTTAAGGTTAAGATCAGGGCGGAGAGGGTGCGTCTCTCTGCGTCGAAATTTGGCAAAAGTTGGGTGAAAGTTTCATGCTTGGTGCGAGTGAGAGGTGCTGACCTCGAGTGGTTGTTGGATGCAACTTAGGCAAGAGGATTTTGGGACTCGAACTGAAACATCAGTCAACCCAGCCTGTTTAAGGTAAGATAGGACTTTTTAATTTTCAGTTTTGGCCTCCTCAGGGCTAAATATTTTCCTTTCAACATAGCTAGAGCATGCAAGTACATAAGTTCCGCCTTTTTGTCCCCATTTGAGTTACTTGTTTCCACCCCACCCCACCTTTTAGGTGACAGATGTCTCTTTTCTCTGAATTTCTTTCAAACCAGTTAATCGAGATTTCTGCCACATTTTTGGGAAGGGTCCTACTACTAATATTGTTTTGTTTAGTTTCTATTACAAACACATTTTTCATTGTATATAATCATTGGGCTTGTGATTTTTGTCCCCCATCCCTCGATAATTGTGTAAATAAAAATTTCATGTTAGGGCTTTCTCATAGAGAAAATGTGGTATTTTGGTGATTGTGGTGTGACAGCAAGGAGTAAAAGCGTTGTTATGGTGAAAGGAATATTGTAAGTACGAATGGGTCAAAGAATGAGACAAGTTAGTTTGAGATAGGACTAGAGAAGACCAGTCTTTTCCCCACCCCATTTTTAGCCCTCGTGGCACATTTGTACCTTTTTTGGTGAATAAATAATATGATGAAAGTGTAGTACGCTGCCTTTGTGAGCTTCCGAGTCGGCGTCTGTCGAACTCTCTGCATTAGCAGAGAGGAACCCGGACGAAGCTTTGCCGAAGGGCAAGGTTTCGTTCGGGTAGGTAGACAGGGCCTGAATCCGTCTAGGCGGGTTCAAAAAGGCTATATTTTTGGCCGAGCCTACGGGCTCGGGGATACCCACATTAAACCGGCCTTGTACCACATTCTATCCTCGTGGGTGGATTGATAAATACTAAACTGCTCGGCCCGGGGGCCTGGATCAAAGTGTAGTACGCTGCCTTTGTGAGTTTCCGGTGCTTTGTCGAGAGTGTTACTCTTCGGCGCGATCCCGTCTCCGCGGTCGATCCGCCCTGTGAAGTCTATCACTGTTCAGTCTTGGCCCTGTTTAGGGACTCCGTCTTCGCCAAGTGATACACTTTGTCGCGATCCCGTTTCCGCGGTTGATCCGCCCTGTGAAGTCTATCACTGTTCAGTCTTGGCCCTGTTTAGGGACTCCGGCTTCGCCTCGTGATACACTTTGGCGCGATCCCGTTTCCGCGGTTGATCCGCCCTGTGAAGTATATCACTGTTCAGTCTTGGCCCTGTTTAGGGACATCGATCAACTCTATACGACCGGACCAGATCAACTCTATATGACCGAACCAGCTACGTTCACCAATCAATTCTATACGATCGGACCAGATCAACTCTATACGACCGAACCAGCTACGTTCGCCGATCAACTCTATACGACCAAACCAGCTACGTTCGCCGATCAACTTTATACGACCGAAAGCAAACCAGTTATACCGGACCCGACACCGATTTAAACGCATTATTCGACGTTATTGTTCCATAAACCTTTGCCTTTGTCCCCTCATTGCCTTGGCTGTTCACACTTTTCTTCATAAAGCTTGCGGGGGCAACATCCTTATTGGCCCCGCAACAAATGGTGACTTCCCGACGTGAGACAGTTAAGCGATGATGGAGTCGGCCAAAAGTGATTCTTTAGACATGACGGCCGCGATCATACCTCTGCCTGCATACCACCATAATGCCAAGAACTGGTTCTTGCAGGTAGAATCCATCTTTTCAATGCTACGCATCACTTCACAGCGAGCCAGATTCGCGAACGTAATGCAGAAACTCCCATCCGATATGATGGACGAAATTTCTGACGTCCTCTCCGATTTGCGCGAACATGAACCATACGACCACTTAAAGAAAGCGATCCTCAAGCGAACCGGACGTTCCGAGGAAGATATGATTCAGGAAATACTACGGAACGTCGCTAGATGTGACAAGACGCCATCCCTGCTTCTCAGATATATGAGGAACCAGCTGGGAAAGCACAATGTGTCAGAGAAGGTTCTTCGAGGTTTATGGCTGGAGCATTTTCCCAAATCAGTCGCTCAAATTATCGCACCAATGACGAGAGCCACGCCTCTGGATGATTTGGCAGAATCTGCTGATCTAGTTTTTGCGCAGTTTGACCACAGCGTTAACGCTGTTCACGCCCCCGACATAGCAAAGCACGAACGCTACGAGCCGAATAACCCCCAGCCAAGAACGGCAAAGCGACCAGGGTGTTTGTTGGTTTCATCGCACATTTGGCGATGGGGCCAGGAATTGTAAACCTCCCTATACACACCCGTCGGCCCAGGGAAACGAATAAACCGGAGAGTCGCGACGACTAACTCTTCCGGTGCCAACACGCAATGTCGTCTGTTTTACGTTTGGGATCGACGGAACAAATTGAAATTCCTAGTAGACACAGGTGCGGCCATCAGCGTGGTACCCTATCAGAACGACCACACTGCTAAGCCCACCCTGGTCAAACTACGAGCTGCGAATGGTTCCGCGATAGACACATACGGAGAAAGGACCCTTACTCTGAATATCGGCATGCGACGTGATTTCACTTGGACATTTACCGTGACCAACGTGAAGGTACCCATCCTCGGCGCGGATTTCCTGGCGCATTACGCACTGGCGGTCCATATGAACCCTAGGACTCTGTCCGATACGACTACGAATCTCCGTGTCTTAGGTACCCCTACACGTCAAGGCTCCACAGGAATCAGCGTCGCAACATGCCATGGTCGCGAGTACTTAGATCTCCTGACACAGTTCACGGATATAACGCTGCCACTCCAAGTAACGGCTTCAGGTGACCATCAGACTCAGCACCACATCAGAACTCGAGGTCCTCCCGCACACTCCCATCCGCGACGACTCGCTCCGCACAAACTGGCGTACGCCAAGGAGCAATTCGACAAAATGCTCAGTGATGGCATCATTCGTCCTTCCGATAGCCCTTACGCCTCGCTACTACACTTAGTGCCTAAACCTGGTGGTAAAGAATTTCGGATATGCGTCGACTACCGAAAATTAATGCATCGACCGTACCAGACCGATACCCTGTCCCTCATATCCATGATTTTGCAACCGGACTGGTGGGCGCTTGCATCTTTTCAAAAATCGACCCGACAAAGGCATACCATCAGATCCCCGTCGCTGCGGAAGACGTCCCTAAGACGGCAGTCACAACACCGTTTGGCCTATATGAATTTCTGAAAATGCCGTTCGGTCTACGTAACGCTGCCCAGACCTTCCAACGGCTCATAGACGAAGTCCTGCGCGGACTTCCGCACGTATACGCTTACATCGACGACATCTTGGTGGCCAGTACAGACGCCGATTCTCACAGGCAACACCTGCGAGAAGTCTTCCAGCGACTCTCGCACTACGGCCTGAAGTTGAACCTGGACAAGTGCGTTTTCGGGGCGCCCAGCGTTGATTTTCTCGGGCACCGCACCGACACAAACAGCATAGCACCTCTGCCAGACAAGATCAGCTCGATCCGGGATTTTCCTACACCGACGTCCATGAAACAATTGCGACGTTTCCTCGGTATGCTCAGTTTTTATCGTCGGTTCATCCCGAATTGGCTACCATCCTCCAGCAACTGACGAACCTGCTGCAGAGAAGGAATAAGGACATCTCGTTGCACGCATTCCATACAGCGAAGGCTGCATTGGCAAATTATACTAGGCTCTCGCATATCAACGACGATCCGGAGACGCGACTCTTCCTGACAAACGACGCATCGAACGCCAAAGCGAAAAGTAGGGGCGACAGTTGACAGCCCTGACGGACCGACCTAGTCAGCGCAAAAGCGCCCGACAGCTTCCCGTTCACCTGTACCACAGCACTGGGGAAGCAATACAGGAGGCTAATCCAGCGGCAGAAGTCGGGTGCGAATCCGGCGGCCTGCAGGACAGTAGCAAGATAGCGATGGTCAACACTATCAAATGAATCAGCGCTGCCTCATCGTCGTCTTTTACACCCTCTATGATCGTGCGGATCAGATGCAGGTTGCTCTGAATTGTTCGGCCCCTCACAGAACAAGACTGCTCCGGATTCAACAGAGACTCGGCAACTGACTGCAAATGCTCCTGCAGGATCTTGGCCAAAATCTTTAACTCTGTGTTTAGCAGAGTTATGGACCTGTAATCATCTAGTTTCCCCCCAACACCCCTGCCCTTTTTCAGCAGCGTGATCACACCCCTGGAGAACCGGTCGGGGAGGGACCCCTACCGGAACCAGTTGTTGAACACCACAGTCAAAATCGGGACAAAGATGTGCGACAGCCTCAAGTACAATTCATAGAGCAAACTATCCAGAACGGGCGACTTGCCTCTGCCGACCTTCTTCAATTCCGCGTAGACCTCGTCTTCCGTGATCTCTCCCTCGCAGCTAGCCGCTTCTGTCGGCGAAAGCCGAGGAAAGTCAGCCAACTTGCTGCGAAACTCGTCCTCACGAAGACCAGGCTCCTTGGTAAACCGGCTCTCGAAATGCCGCCGAAACGCTTCGCACATGTCGTCAGTGGCCTGAAGAGTACGCCCCTCCAGGGTTTCGACTTCACGAATGTAACGATCACCACCTCTTCCTTGCGCAATTCTGCGCCCATGTTCACAGCTTCGGAAGACATCTTGCTTAACCTATGTCTAACTACCTGGCCCATGTAGCGATCGCTATTCGAACGCTCCACGGCCTCTCTAGCTAAGGCTATCTCGAGGGAATCACCCCACCGCCATCGCCGAGGAAAGAGTAGCTCTAAGCGTCTTCACTTTCTCAGCTCTATCTAGGGCGAGCCGTTTGCTGAAATCAGTGGTGAAAGACCTAATCCTAATCTTAAGTCGATCCCACCACCTATTCCCGATAATCGCCCCCACTAGCTTCCGCTGTACTAAGCTAGTTAGCTGCTCCTGGAAGTACGGCCTGTCCAGTAAAGACAGATTGAACTTCCAGTAACCAGCCATTGTATACCTATAATCTAACGACATACGGGCACAAACAAGTTTGTGGTCCGTATAGCCTACCCAGTGGAACGTGGGACAATCTAACAGATCTATGTCGGCTCTTCTAACTAACATTCTTTCAAGGTAGCTAACCACCGCGTCACAAGGCCAGCTAAGAGCCCACGTCCACATTTCCCCTCCGGGGTGATCGACCCGGTATCTATCAACGAGACCAAAATCGTTGATCAGGTCGACCAAGCTACGATCACCCCCTTCTCCCGCTAGCACCCCGCCCCCGATCTAACTGAGGGTCCAGGATGGCATTCCAGTCTCCAATTAGAATTAAGCGCGTTGAATCCACCAGGAAAGGCCCCAACCGCCGAAAAAACGAAACCCGCTCCTCCTGGTCGTTGGGCGCATAAACCGCAACGACCCGAAACGAACCACTTTTCACTGTAATATCGGCCACAATCAACCGTCCCTCGGTATCGGTATACACAAGTTCCACCTTCGCATCTAGAGTCCGCTTCACCAGCAAAGAAACTCCTCTGGCAACCCGGACCCCATATGCTGAAAAGACGACAAAATCGTTAGACAGCATACACGCATCGGAACTGCAAACAAAGTAGGTCTCTTCGATCGTGGCGACATCCACGCCAAAGGAAAGAGATCCCGGAGCAGGCGGGCTGCTTTACCCTGATCCCTCAAGCCCTTCACATTCAAAGTAGCTATCTTGATAGACATCGTTTAGGTCTGCAAAAAATAAAAAGAGAAAAATCAAAAAACCTACTCACACACCGGGTGGAAATCTGCGTTGGTAAGGAACCCGACGGATTTGTCCCAGGCTCCCTGTTCCCAACTCCGTCGTCATTCGACCATCCAATACAATCCCACCGACGTCCCTGGGGTAGATTAATTTCACTGCCCTATATAAGGAGTAACACAAAAATGCCTTAGTTTTCTTAAATTAGAGTTCTCTAATTCGAAGACTCTAATGTTAGGGAACGCTTCATTAGCCTCAAATAAGTGGCTCCACACTTTTAAACACCACCCACGGCCAGAGTGACTTTGCTGTGGTTCGTCTTCTTCTTCCCTACTCCTTTTCAGGGATGAAGTACGAGGTGGAGGTATACTATCCACCTCCAGAGACATCTCAGTTTGTGACTGCTGCTTCTGCTGTTGGTGGTGGTGTTGCTGTTGCTGTTGCTGCTTTTGTTTTGCTGCTGCTGCTGTTGCTGCTGCTTTTGTTGCGGCCGCGTCTTTTTGTTGTGGCCGCACCTCCTTCAACTTTTCAGGCGGCGACTGCCTCTTTTCCTGAGGTATCTCTATTTTTGGGGGGAAGGGGGAGACGAAACATTTGCAGACTTCCGACCGCTGGTAACCTCCTTCCAGTCTCCATCAGTTTTTGACGTCCCCTCCTCTGGTTGACTAGCTGCTACTGTTGTCGTTTTAGCTGTTGCAGATGCTGGACGTGGTGGAGCTTGTGTACTTTTTTTTTTTTACTGGGGCACTCCTTTGCCATGTGGCCCGACATCCCACATGACCAACACCATAGTTTTCTACACTCCACGACTACCAGCATCCTCCTGTCGCGGCAAACCAAGATGTTATGGGATCTCCTGGAAACCCTTTCTGTTTAAGGTAATCTGGAGCTCCATGTCCCCCGCCTCAATTCCAGCTTTTCTACTGAAGGCCCTCACTTCATTTACTTCGCTAAATTTGGAGAAGACGGCCCCCATTCTGTCATCGGGGATATCTACGGGCACCCAATGGACGGTCACTTTCGTCCTACGGGTGCCCATATATTCCGTTTGAAATCTCAGAGACTTTGTGTTCAGTACACTCCCCGCCAATTATTTAGCCTGTTCTTCATTTTGGAGAAGGATATCCCACAATGCGTTTGTTGTTCTTGCGAGTATGCTCGGGTTAATATTCAGAGCTTTCAAAGCTTCCTCCTTACTTTCCCTGCTGACCCCAATTAATTTCCGGGTTTTAACATCGGAGGTCAGCAGGGATATGGTGCGTGGGCTCACTGCGTAAAGGGGTTTCGGAATCGTTAAGAACTCATTGTCCTTGAACGATTCCTCATACTTTTCCGCTGGTTAATGTAAAAACTGCCATCTTTTTTCAGGGGCTTATTTTCTGACCAGGCCGTTTTGGCAGGTGACACCGGCTTTGGTACCGGTGTATCCATCACGTCGTTGTTTTTGTCGACCATGGTGGCATAAAAAGCCCACCACAGTCGACCAAATGAATAGTTACTTTTTCCTTTTTAAATAGAAAGTATATAAAAAATATTCAAGTGTAAAATAAAAATAAAATGCAAAAAGAGAACGGGACAAACCAAAGACAATAAGCAATTCAACTAAATACAAAAACGGTAAATAAAACAGGGAGAGGGCCAAAATACAAACAGAAAAGAGAATGAAAAAAGTGTATAAATAATAATAATATGTACTAAAAAACAAGCAAAAACTAAAAAATTGAAAACGGTTTTCGAAAATCAAAATTAACAAAAAATAAAACTGTTTGTTTTTTGGTGTATTTGTATTACCGTTATAGACTGTAAGAATTCGTAATTAGTGTTTAAACACCGTTATGAAGTAGTCTACCCTTAACCGTAAGTATGAAATATGTTCAATAATAGTATTTACTTAATTGTAGTGAGCGTTAATAATTCACTTTGGATAAGTAAAGTCTTGTGAGTTGAAATTCTTCGTATTCACAGAGTAATCTTCGAGTCGAGTTTGTGGGTGAGTCAGTTGTGGTTTTTTTTTTTTTTGCGCGGGAAAATTATAATCGCAAGTTACGGGGATTAGACTAGCGCTTCGCTGTGTTCAGTGGACTGACTGATTTATCGTAGATGATCAAAGAGAATGTATAGTTTGAGATTCTTGAATGACGAAGTTCGTAGAAGATATTGAACGGAAAAAATTTGTCGTCTCGATTCGTCGAGACGAGAGTAGTAGTCGTCACATTTTTAAGCTTGAGTGAGCGGTCGAAAAAATGGTCTGCTGCTGATCTGCCCAGGTCTGCATCTGCGTGTCACGCGTGCTTTGTTTTTTTTTTTTTTAAGAGGTCATGATCACGTGGGTGGCTCCAAAACGATTTTGCGCCAAAACTTCGAAGTGCACGTGCAGGCGACCTGATTGGTAGAAATGAACCAATCAGAGGGCTAGATTTACGAATGAAAGTTGGAATAGTGCATTACTCGAAGAAGGTAAGATTGGGCTAATAGACGAGCCCAATAAGGTGTTGCGTAGCTTCACTTTTATTTTTTGCTTATATTGATGATGTGCTAATAACGAGTAAGAACGAGGAGGAACGCACTGAGCATGTAGAAGAAGTTCTTACAAGACTACAACATTACGGATTAAAAATTAACGTTGCAAAATGACATTGATCAGCATGGAATTTTACCTTCGGCGGAGAAAATTGAAGCCATAAAAATCTGTACATAGCCAACGTCGCTTAGGTACGCCGCTTTATAGGCCTAATTAACTACTACCGTCGTTTCGTACCTAACTGCTCCAAAATGATGTTACCTCTAACGAACCTGTTACAAAATGAACGAAAAACTCAAAAGTTACTCTACAAAGTCTCATTCTGGATTCTTTTAATCAAGCTAAGAGCGCTTTGAAGAATTTCACCAAGCCCAGATTTAAAAA